CAGGCCTGGGCCTGGGGGGAGACTGGCCCCAGAATCAAGGGTGGCGTGGACTTAAGCTAGTTGCCAAATGCCTCTTGGTACTTTGCAGGTGGATCATGTGGACCCTGGTGAGCTTGGCGGCCTTAGTGACAGGGCTGGTGGCTGGAACGCAGTGCCCAGATGGTCAACTCTGCCCTGTGGCCTGCTGCTTGGACCCAGGAGGAGCCAGCTACAGCTGCTGCAATCCCCTGGTGAGTGCCCTCAGCCCAGGCACGAGCTGGCAGCTGGGGTTTTCCAAAAGGTCATGTTGGGTGGGCCCGAGGAAGCGGCCCCACTCTGTCCTTTGGATAATCCCCTCCTCTCTTCCCAGGACAAATGGCCCACAGCGCTGAGCAGGCGTCTGGGCAGACCCTGCCGGATTGATGCCCATTGCTCTCCTGGCCACTCCTGCCTCCTCACTGTCTTGGGGACCTCCAGCTGCTGCCCCTTCCCAGAGGTGAGGGCACCATTAGCTCGATGGAGGGCTCAGTTCTGTGTTCACATGTTTCCTACACTCTTCCGCCCCAGGTAAGAGGGCCTAGTCAATGCAGCTCTCTGTGTCCCACAGGCCGTGTCATGCGGGGATGGCCGCCACTGCTGCCCAAGGGGCTTCCACTGCAGTGCTGATGGGCAGTCCTGCTTCCGAAGATCAGGTGCAGTAGGGGTGGGGGTGGAGGGCAGGCAGATGGGCGGCATGTAGAGCTGGAGCACCCAGGAGCCCAGCTGGCTGGGTGACCCTGATTTCTGCTCTCATGTCCTCATTCGTGTGGCATCTGTACTAAGCACCCGCCCTGCTCTGGATAGAGGGGCAGCACTGGGGCTAAGAGGGGAAGGAGAGAACTCGAGACCCCAGGCCTAGAGCCAGACATTGCAGGGGTGGGGAGAGGCCAAACTGGGCTGGTTTAATGCCAACCCAGTCAATGGATGCCCCTGTCTTGTGCCATGTGTCTGAAGCAAGGCCTGGCTTGTGGGAGAGTGGTTGAAGAGTGCCTGGGATCCTGGCCGGGTGGCTCAGTTGGTTGGAACATCGGCCCGTAGTACACCCAGATTGCAGGTTTGCTTCCTGGTCAGGGCGCATACCTAAGTTGTTGGTTTGATCCCGTCAGGGCGTGTACGGGAGGCAACTGATTGATGCTTCTCTCTCACATTGATGTTTTTCTCTCTCACCCTTCTCTCTAAAATCAGTAAAAACATATCCTTGGGTGAGGATTTAAAAGAAAAAAGTGCCTGAGCCCTAGTGCCAGCCCCCCGACCTCCTGTAGCTGGGAGGGTAGGCCCTGTGCCAGCAGCTCCTTGAGTGATGGAGGCAATGACCTCCACTGACTGGGCTGGTGGCTGACTGGGCCATCCTGTCCACAGATACCAACCCCCTGGGTGCTGTCCAGTGCCCCGGCAGCCAGTTCGAGTGCCCCAACTCCTCCACGTGCTGCATTATGCCTGACGGCTCCTGGGGATGCTGCCCCATACCCCAGGTACAGGTTTGGGAAGGTAAGGGTGGGAGGGGGGCAGCAGGAGCAAAGTGAGGGGCTGGAGGGGGCAAAGACAGAGTTGGGACCATCTCTTCTCAGGCTACTTGCTGCGAAGACAAGGTGCACTGCTGCCCCCGTGGTACCACCTGTGACCTGGCTCATACCCGCTGCCTCACCGCCTCGGGCACCCTCCCCCTGGCGAAGAAGATCCCAGCACAAAGGACTAATAGAGCAGGTGAAGAGATGGGTGAACTTCGGGTTGGGGGTTGGGAGTAAGGAGAGGCCTTGCCTGGCTTCTAGCTGAGGAAAAGTTCCCCTCCACCCTGGCTGCCCCTCACACCTTTCTCCCCTTCCAGGGATCATGTGCCCAGATGGACAGTCCCAGTGCCCTGACGATTCTACCTGCTGTGAGCTGCCTAATGGGAAGTATGGCTGCTGCCCAATTCCTAATGTGAGTGAGGGGCTATGCCAGTGGGGCTATGCCAGTGGGGCTATGTGCCCACAGCCACCTAGCCTGGACACCTACCTTGCAGGGATTCCAGGGGTCTGAGGCTGGCTGACAGGTTGCTGGGAGCCTGGCTGCTCGGGACGTATGCTACCCCCTAGTGGGGGATTGGGGCAGTGCCAGCTGTCAGCCTGACTTCCTTGTGCTCAAGTAAGACTGGAAGCCACAAAGACCCACCCTTGCCTTCACCCAGGCCATCTGCTGCGCCGACCACCAGCACTGCTGCCCCCAGGACACCATGTGTGACCTGGCCCGGAGGAAGTGCGTCTCCAAGGAGAACACTACGGACCTCCTCACCAAGCTGCCAGCACACACAGGTACCAGAAGCAGGCCTCAGACTCCCACCTGCCCCAGGAGGAGCTTCCCACCAGGCTCTTCCAGGAGCAGATATGGGGGGGGGAGGGGGCACTGGTCGCTGCATGGAGGGGCCAGGGCAGGTACAGCCCCCTCTTCTCCTCATTGGGCTTCGCTTTAGGATCCCTGCCAGGGGTGGCCTTCCATCCTCAACATCTGGTTCCAGCTGTGGAGCCCACCAAGGGTAGGACCTCCAGACGGTCCCCAGTGCCACTGCTGACTTGTCCTCCTTGCCCAACCCACAGTGCAGGAGGTGAAGTGTGACACGGAGGTGAGCTGCCCAGAGGACTACACCTGCTGCCGCCTACCGACGGGAGCCTGGGGCTGCTGCCCTTTTGTCCAGGTACCCAGGAGTGGTGGGTGGGCTGGGCTGAGGGGGGCAGCAAGCTAGGCCCCTGTGCCTACTGCCCCTTCTCCACCCACCCTAGGCTGTGTGCTGTGAAGACCACGTGCACTGCTGCCCAGCCGGGTTTACGTGTGACATAGAGAAGGGTACCTGTATGCAGGAAGGCCTCCAGCTGCCCTGGACGGAGCAGGCCCCAGCCCGCCTCAGCCTGCCAGTCCCCCAAGCCATGGAGAGTGATGTCCCCTGTGATAATGTCACCAGCTGCCCCTCCTCCACCACCTGCTGCCAACTCGAGTCTGGAGAGTGGGGCTGCTGTCCTGCCCCAGAGGTGCATGGGTACTGGGGTAGCATTGGGGGGGGGGGGCATTGTCTTGACCTGGGCAGGTGGCCAGACTCCTGTTACCTTGCTCTTCTCCTCTCTGCCTGGCCCACAGGGGCACACCAGCTCTCAGATTTCATTCCCAGCTGGAAGGACTGAGCAGAAGAGGCAGAATGGGATAGGGGCTCAGGGTTTCGTCCCACACAGTATAGCTTCCTGGATCACGCTCTCCGCCCTTTCTCCCTTCGCCAGGCTGTCTGCTGCTCGGACCACCAGCACTGTTGCCCTCAGGGCTACACATGCTTGGCTGGGGGGCAGTGTCAGAGCGGGAACCAGATCGTGGCTGGACTGGAGAAGGTGCCTGCCTACCGGGCTTCCTTGTCCCAACCCAAAGACATGGACTGTGACCAGCACACCAGCTGCCCAGTGGGGCAGACCTGCTGCCCAAGCCTGAGTAAGAGCTGGGCCTGCTGCCAGTTGCCCCACGTGAGTGTCCACCTGCCTGCCCCTGGAGAGGGGAGCTGAGTCCTGGGGGTGGAGGGGACAAGAGCATAATGCCACTCCCCCCCCACCCCCCCAGGCTGTGTGCTGTGAGGATCACCAGCATTGCTGCCCCAATGGGTACACCTGCAATGTGAAGGCCCGAACCTGTGAGAAGGAGGTGGATTCTGCCCACCTGCCCCTCGGCCCTCATGTGGGTGTGGGGGACGTGGAGTGTGGAGAGGGGCACTTCTGCCACGATAACCAGACCTGCTGCCGAGACAGCCGCGGGAGCTGGGCCTGCTGTCCCTACCGCCAGGTCAGTGCCACTCCCTACCCTGGGTCTGGTACGGGCCTGGCCAGGTCCGGCTCTAACCCTCGTACCCTCCTCTGACCATCCAGGGCATGTGTTGTGCCGATCAGCGTCACTGCTGTCCCGCTGGCTTCCGCTGTGGGGCCAAGGGCACCAAGTGTTTGCGCAGGGAGACGCTGCGCTGGGACACTCCCCTGAGGGATCCGGCCCCAAGGCAGCTGCTGTGAGGAGAGACTGGACCAAAGACACTCCACAGCCCTCGGGTCCCTGTTCGGAGGGCACCCGCTGCTCAGGCCTCCCTGTCACCTCTCCCCACCAAACTCTCCCGGACTCTCCATCTGAGTCCCCCATCATGGAGGTGGGGTCTCCATCTAAGGCCTCCCCGTCACATGGGGAGCTGTGGCAAAAGCCACGCTACAAGCTGCCATTCTCTCTCTCAATTTCTATGGACCCTGTGGCCAGGTGCTCTTCCCTATCCACAGGTGTGTGTCTATGTGTGTCTGTGTGTGTGTGTGTGTATGTGCTCCAATAAAGTTTGTACACTTTCTTAATAGTGTCTGATTTGGCCGCCCAGCCTGCCTTCCCCAGGAGGGCCCTGAGCAAGGGTGCCCATCCAGCACCCACATTCCCTCAGCCCCACAGACACACACCGAGTTCATCTCACCAGTTTTATATTTGCTGCTGCCCACAGCGGTCCTATCACATCATCCCGTTGCCCAGAGCCCCCCAGCCACTAGCCCCGTGACTTGGTAGCCCAGAGGTGGGCTAGTCTGCAAGCAGCACCCCTCCCTTCCCAGGGGTCCACGGAGAACTCCCCCTCCCTTCCCAGGGGTCCACGGAGCACTCCCCCTCCCTTCCCAGCCCTCACACTAGCAGCTAAGGCCTGGCTGCCCCTCCTGCTTCCTCACAATAGAACTTTCTATGTACACCGTTTATACAGGCACTGCTTGCCCCCCACCCCACCCGCCTCCCCAGCACCTCCCAATGGGGGTCTGGACCCCTCCCACCGCCTTCTTGGAGGCAGCCATGGGGTCCCTCCCCAGCCATTACCCAGCACATACCACTGAACAGCTCTGCAGGCCTCTGGGCACCTTTCAAAAAAAAAAAACGCCACTCCCGGGTGCGCACCCCGGGGACAGGCCCAGGCGGGCGGGGCGGAGCCAGACCCGCAGACGGTGCCGGGTCCGGAGGAGGCGCTATTTGACGTTGAACACCATCAGCGGCCGCTCCTCCCGCCGCTG